GGTATCATAGTTATAGTATTTCAGAGTAATATGTCATTTAACTTTTTTTTTCACTTGTGACGTGAGGTGAAGATTGTTTATTTTGTTCACAATGCCAGTTGCTTCAATATTTTACGTAATTATTGACACAAGTCTGTTATTGGACTCCACCTTCAGTGATGATTAGATTTAATTTTTCGGTCTTTTTTTTTTTAATCAGTTCTTCTAAAAAGCCAACTTTTACAGCAGTTAGTTTATGGTTATGTCTACTTGCGTTTCTACCATTTACCGTTTCGCGGAAATCTTGAATAACGTGTAAAACCATTGTTATCAGTTTCTCCTAATCATTATTTACTCTCACGTTTGATGTAAACTCGATTTTTATCAATTAGTGTCAGAATTGTGGAATGTATTATCTTTCTAAGTAGCCTATTGATATAGGGATAATTGTGATTAAATTTGTACAGTAATATCGACAGGGGCAAGGCGTGGTCAAGTAGTTAGCGTGTCGGGTACGGATCATAAAGTCCAAGGTTCGAATCGCAATACTTGCATCTCGCTTAAAAGGAGTAATGGCGTTATGGATGTGCAGCCAATCCAGCTATTCGGTTAAGATGAGTTGTGTGGACGGCGGGTGCAGCTGACGGGTTGTCTTTTCTTTAGTCAGCAAATTCCAAATTAGAAATGTCCATACCTGAACCCTTGGACCTCTGACCTGGCCCTTTAATTAATGAGTAGCGTAAGATGCCGTCCAGATTGATGACATCAACAGTAAGAGGAGCCTGTGTTCCCGGAAATGTCTTTTTTTATATTTTAACTAACCCAAGGCAAGATTCTTTTTGTTATTGCTCTAATTATCTTACTGCTAACTTCTGTCAACAATGAATATCGCTTAAAGCAAATCATCCATAAAAAATACATATTTTGGTTAATTTTTATATCAGGAGTCTCACTTTTAAGTTTTCACAAGGTATGTCTAGAAAAATGAGCAATTGACTTTAACAACTTTATTCTGAAAAACGTACGTTGTCTACGTAAAAACATCATACGTATACTTTCTCAAATTTAAACGTTTTATTTTTTTATGAAATGTAAAACACTTAAACTGAGCTTTTATTAAATGCTGATTGGCAAAACATATAATTATTTTTAACGTTTTAGAAAAGCGTGCATTTTTGTGACTTGAGGATCGTTTGTTTGTGTCAGCTGAGGTAAATAGTGTAGAATTCAAACAAAATATTATAATTAAATGTTTTTAAAATCTCTGTTAATTATTCTACCTTGTACGTCAGGCTATTCTAGTGAAATATTTGAAATCTATGTAACTAAACAGAATAGAATGATAACTTTATACAAAGGTTGAGTACGTTCTGTTAAAATGATTTTGAATATACAAACCAGCAAGTCACACTACTACCAGAGCCGATATAAATGTCTGGTTGAATGGAAGGTATCATAACAACATCTTGACATTTTTTGAAGTTATGTAAGTAGTGTTATGCCATCGAAAATGTAACAGTCCTTTCCGGCGCAAAATAAGTATGCATTCACATCATAGATATGTCTTCATATCACAAATTTAGAACTTCAAAGATGGGGATAGTCTTTGTTCTTACATCATTGGAAAACAACGGAATATGAACAAACTCGTAGCACTAGAACCATACAGAAGAAGATCTGCAACAAATTGTACTCTTGCTTTGTAAACGAAATGCGGTGTTTTGCAACAAGTAAAAATCCACGAACAAAAAAATTAGTGAAAAAAAACAGTAACGGTAACCCCAGGCAACAGTACTCAACATAATCAAGAAAGGTCTCCGTTTGAAAAAGCGGCATAAGTCGCGTGCATATAAGCTGCTTCTCTGACATAGTTGTTCAATGGTTGCAGGCCTCAGATACTTGGAGAATGAAAAAATATATTCATGCTATTCCATACTAAGATGTACCAGTAAAGTGGCCGAAGGCAACGTCTTTAGATTTTTGTGCAATCGGACTGTTGATACGAGCGCTGGGAAACCACAGTGCTCCTACAGTAGATGACTTATGAAAGGTATAAGGGAGGAATGCTGTGCTTTAGATATGACAGCTTTACAACGGAGCTTTTTGAAATAGAAAATATGCTGCAGAACTATAGTCAAGAAGCACAGTCGTCAGATAAAGCATAATCAGACGTGTCGACATGGGCTGTAACGACTTATAGAGGCTCCAAAACCATTTTAGTACAACGTACTCAACCCTTATAGTCATTGAATTTATGCGGTTTATTAGTGATTTCAATGTAAGTTTAATCTCAAAAACCGTCGCATGCGTAAACTGTAAGTTTTCATTCTTCTGATTAAGAACACGTGTCTATTATATTTAGGGAATTTGGAGCGAAATGTTCCAAGTGTAGCAGAACAATACAGCCTACAGACTGGGTGAGGCGGGCCCGTGACAAAGTGTATCACCTGGCTTGTTTCGCCTGCGACTCTTGTAAAAGACAGCTATCCACGGGAGAAGAGTTTGCTCTGTACGAAAATAGGGTTTTGTGCAAAACGCACTATTTTGAAACTCTTGACGACAACAACGGCTCAAACGACGGTAAGTGGAGAGAAATTATCTAGTAAGCATAGACGTTTTTTAGGGATGAATTGAAATAAATTAAGACGCAAAAAGTAGGCCTGACTTTTTGACTGATGTTACTTTGCGAGTTGTACACTTTCGACTAATGTCTTACTTCCCACTGAAGAACCGAAACTTTCGAGTGTTAGGTTCTAATAGCTATATAGCTGCACAAACTTTTATGGAACGTTCAGAAAATGCCAATATAAGCCCTTCTATTTAGTTTCAAGTTACGTATGGTTCTTTACAGACAGGTTCACGTGATTACGTCACGTCTGGTATAAGGTTTTGTTTGTCTGTTTGAAGTTAAGCGCAAAGTTATACAATGGGTTATTTGTGCTCTGCTCACCATGGGTATCGAAACCCGGTTTCTAGCGTTGTAAGTCTGCAGACATACCGCTGTGCCACTGGGAAGCGTCTGGTATACATACGGCTTGAATCAGACATTACTACAACGTATTCGTTTCCTCCTGGAAATCTTATGTTTAGTAGAAATATGTTTCTCTTTTATTTGATCTAAAAAAGTGAAAAAACCCAATTGAATATGTGGTGCAAAGTTAATAGGGATTAAGTAGCTGTTTCTGTAATAATTAATCAGTGCAACAAATAATCCAGGAAAGTAAAACGCACAAAAGACAGTTTCTTTAGGTCGTCATAAACTGTTAATTAGAAACTTGTGTTATTAGTGCTTTTTTTTTGACTGGTTTTACCCCGTGTGTTCGAAATAACTCAAAAAGTTGTAGAAAATATGCAAAAGTATTCAAATATAATTGTTACTGAAGCTTTTCCATTTCGAATCATATTAGATCATTCATATACTCAACCAGTAAACAGACTTTAATCATCCACGGATTCAGCCAGTAAACGTGGAAGAGTTATAATGTGACGGCCAATCCCACTATTCGTTGGTAAAAGAGTAGCCCAAGAGTTGGCGGTGGGTGATGATGACTAGCAGCCTTCCCTTTAGCCTTTCACTGCTAAATTAGAGACGGCTAGCGCAGATAGCCCTGGTGTAGCTTTGCGCGAAATTAAAATCAAACATAAGGTATTTTCACTGTGTGTGCGAAGGATGTGTCTGGAGGATTTGTCTCAGTGTCCTCTATACTCCATAATTTGCATACATGGTTAAAATAGAAACCATACCATCTTGGTTAAAATCTCAAAGTCATCTCATCTGGATCATAAGATATTGAACTTTTAATTAAAGAAAATTTATCTGTTGTAAATATATTCCCAAGTCTACATAATAACACAACTTTGTTACAATACATTTTGTTTTGAATAACCTGTTTAATCCCAAAAAATAACACCAACAAATAAACGTAATATTGTTCCAATTGTTGCACTTTATACCTATCATATTCCCTTTTTAATATATTTTAGTCTTTTGCTCTGTATTTTAATTCCTCTTCACAAAATGTTGGAACTTTAGAAACTCAAAAATATTTGTATCTAATATTTACCTTATTTGCTGAAGCTGGAATATGTATCTTTCGAAACGTTCAAGAATTAAATGTTTGTTACCATTACACACGTGTCAAGTGTTTGTTGTTGTTGTTGTTGTCATCATACTAATCATCATTATTAAACTTCGATTCCCGTTAAATGAATCTACTGCTTTAGTTTCTGTTGTTAAGAATATCGTCATGGTTATAGTTTTTATTTTGGTTTTGTTAAGAAGATCGTCATTACTTTAGTTTTTGTTTTGTTTTTTTTTGTTTTTTTAAGAAGATTGTCATGACTGTAGTTTTTTTTTTTTTTGGTTTTGTTAAGAAGATTGTCATGACTGTAGTTTTTTTGTTTTGTTTTGTTAAGAAGATTGTCATAACTGTAGTTTTTTTTTTTTTTTGATTTTGTTAAGAAGATTGTCATGACTTTAGTTTTTGTTTTTATTTTGTTAAGAAGATCAGGTTAAGCCATTATTTAAGGTTGCATTATTCAACAATTTATCGTACTGGGTAGTCTTATCATAATCTAGATTGTGTTTATTCCCTTCGGGATCCCTTTCTGTCGCAGATCTAGCCAGACGAAACGGAAGATTGTTTGTTTGTTTGTTTTTGAATTTCGCGCAAAGCTACACGAGGGCTATCTGCGCTAGCCGTCCCTAATTTAGCAGTGTAAGACTAGAGGGAAGGCAGCTAGTCATCATCACCCACCGCCAACTCTTAGGCTACTCTTTTACCAACGAATAGTGCGATTGACCGTCACATTATAACGCCCCCACGGCTGAAAGGGCGAGCATGTTTGGTGTGACGGGGATTCGAACCCGCGACCCACATGCATGGTTAGGGCGCTCGACTCGCACTCGGGCCCACGAAACGGAAGAGAATCTACATAGATATACGATTCCACCGTGGAGATCTGTGTTCTTATTTCTGCTTTAGGGAGCATTGGGTGATTATTGCAAATTTCACTTAGAATTACTTAGTAATTTAAATATATATATATGTGTAACGAAAGTCGTAATTTCTGTATTCTTTCTCATGGAAAAAACTATACAAACAGTTATCAACGCAAAGCTATTCCTAATTTTAAACTGATAGACTAGAGGGCACACATCACCAACTCTTAGGCTACACTTGTCTGCCCGAATAGTTAGATTGGATCGTCACCGTTATAGAGCACCCACGGCCTCAAAGTGTAGAACGCGTTTTTGCATCAACGAGCTGTAAACCATTAACTCTCGAATTAACAATCCGAAGATTCTAACTACTAGCCAACATTAGGTCACAGTTACTAAGCCGAGATATAATGGAACGTAATAAAACGTATTAAAGACGTGTTTGTTGATCCTTTTTTAAAACAGTTTATGGCTGGATAGTTTACATTTTTAGGAGTCAGTCAGTTGTTCGTATTCAATTATTTTTCGCATATGTATTGCTAGAACTTTCACGTATTAACGACAAAGTGTAATCCTGCTACTCCAAGTTTATATGAGTGACTCAACTGCAAGATATTTTGATCAATTGAACTGTCAAAATATCCATTAAACTCAGTCTTTCATGATGAAGCTTCATTGTGAACGTACCTCTTCAATGAGGTTTCCTTTTCTTAATTGTTCGCATTGCAGATGTCCATCTTATCTTGTTAATTTTTACAAAAATAAATTTACATATTTCATGCTTTCACAACCTCTGTTACATCTTTGTACCTCTTCCGTAGGTTTATACTATATATAGTTCTACTTTCTGTACCTCAGCTTTTTGCCTCTTTTTTTTTTTACAGTCCTTTCTGCTGCAGATATGTACGTCCTTCTATTTGTTCTCTCACAGTTGCTCATTTGTTGAACAAAACCTCTATCACAGTTTTCCACCTGATACGAAATCCCGCTGTGAAGAAACTTATCAAACGTATTATTGTAATTTATATATTTTTTAATGTTGTAAATCATTTGTTAGCAAGAGGGAACTGCGTGTTGTTGACGATAACATTAAGTTCAGGAAATTAGGATAGGCCTAGAAATAATAGAAAACTATAAAGATGTAATGTGAAGTCTTATTCTGAGAATGTGGTGTAAAATTCTAGTATATTCGAACGTAGGTTATATAATGACGTTCTTTGAAGCATTAGTTAGAATTGAGGAACGTAGGTTATATAATGACTTTATGTAAAAGATTAGTTATTGCTGAGGAACGTAGGTTATATAATGACGTTCTGTAAATGACAAGTTAGAGTTGGGGAACGTAGGTTATATAATGACTTTCTGTAAAAGATTAGTTAGAGTTGGGGAACGTAGGTTATATAATGACTTTCTGTAAAAGATTAGTTAGAGTTGGGGAACGTAGGTTATATAATGACTTTCTGTAAAAGATTAGTTAGAGTTGGGGAACGTAGGTTATATAATGACTTTCTGTAAAAGATTAGTTAGAGTTGGGGAACGTAGGTTATATAATGACTTTCTGTAAA